CCCGCCGGAAGATCTCGCCGCTTTCCAACACCGGGGCACCCCGGCGCCCTCCGACCCCCTCCCAAACCCTGGACTCGCTTCCTGGCATCGGAAAACCACCGCAGCTCTCTGCCTGCTGTCCTCCCCTCCCCGAGTGCCCGGGGGGACGGCGAAGTGAAACGTGGTCTCTGCGCTGGCTGCCCGGTTGGGTCTAAAGCTTCAGGTATACCTTTTGCAAGAGATACCAGTTTTAATGATACCATAAAATGAATTTTAGGAGGCTTTAAAAACAAAAAGAACGAAGTATTATTCTCGTAGTGCCACAGCTCTCTCTATTGTGCACGTAGTGGGCCAGCTGGATGTCCTTGGGCATGATGGTGACGCGCTTGGCGTGGATGGCGCAGAGGTTGGTGTCCTCGAACAGCCCCACCAGGTAGGCCTCGCTCGCCTCCTGCAGCGCCATCACGGCCGAGCTCTGGAAGCGCAGGTCGGTCTTGAAGTCCTGCGGCCAGCTGGATGTCCTTGGGCATGATGGTGACGCGCTTGGCGTGGATGGCGCAGAGGTTGGTGTCCTCGAACAGCCCCACCAGGTAGGCCTCGCTCGCCTCCTGCAGCGCCATCACGGCCGAGCTCTGGAAGCGCAGGTCGGTCTTGAAGTCCTGCGCGATCTCGCGCACCAGGCGCTGGAAGGGCAGCTTGCGGATCAGCAGCTCCGTCGACTTCTGGTAGCGCCGGATCTCGCGCAGCGCCACCGTGCCGGGCCGGTAGCGGTGCGGCTTCTTCACGCCGCCCGTGGCTGGCGCGGGCCGCCTTGGTGGCCAGCTGCTTGCGGGGCGCCTTCCCGCCCGTCGACTTGCGCGCCGTCTGCTTCGTGCGCGCCATCGCTGCGGAACCTGTTCCTCTCAGCGCCGCGGAGATAGCAAAGGAGACCTGACACACGCGACCCGCGCTGGCTCCCTTTTATCTCCGACTCTTGTTGTTCATTGGCTGATGGAAAGGGCCGAGCTCATTGGGCCAGCTTCAAAATCCGGCCTTAACCCCCTCTGTGCTGAAACTCAGTCTTCAGTACTCAAATCACAGCCTAGACATTTTCATCCTCCATTTCGTTGGAAAAGACTTTTCTGGTTTTTTTTAAAGACTTCTCTTGATTATTTGTGCACTTTATCAAGTTATTCTTCTCATATAATCCACAAAGGTACTGTGCTACCGAAGATGGGTAAATAAAACTATATCATATTTTCTAGTATTAACAGAAAATAATACTTTTTTTTCAGGTATACTTAAAAAAATCTAATTCTGTAAAAATCCGGCCACTTACATATTACCATTCTAAATTATATAGAGAAGTATTTGCAGAGGAAGCGAACTCTTTATATGCAACACGAAACTAAAATTTGTGTAGTGGTGTGATTTTTTCAGCAGCTGTACTTGTATACTTTATCACATCATGTTGTTAAAGGAAGAACCCTGTAAGAACCATCCAGAGTCTCAAACAGCTCAGGAAAAAATAAAATAGAACGCGAGAAATAAATACTAGAGAAATAAAATTTAAAAAGTCCTTCAGGCTTCCCTGAAAATAAAAGGAAAAGAAAAATAAAATGACAACTGCCTATATTTGAGAAAGGCCCAGGCTCGGGGCGCCTTTGGCTGCTGTCGTGCCGCGGGGTGTTTCGGATCACCCAATGGCGTTCCTCGCTCCTTCGACCAATCAGAGCTGAGCAGGCGGGGCCGCCGCTCGCTAT